TCTCACCTGAAGCCTCAGCATCCAGGGCATGGAACTCCTGAGTGTCTTGGGGAGCACTGGAGAGGCTAGCCCTGGAAGCATCCGCTTCCTCTGGAGAGCAGCCAGGCTGCAGTGGCACCTCAGCTTGGTAGCATGGAGCCTGTTCCTCTTCCCGAGTTGTCCCCAGACTCCACTGGAGTCTGGGGACGTCCAAGCCCAACATCCCACCCCAGGGGCTGTGGTTATGCATCCCTTGACAGTCTTGAGGCAAGCCCAAGTCACAGTCTACATCCTCTGGAATAATGGGGATACGCTGGCTCAGATCCCGGGCTCCTGCATAGCAGCTGGGTGGGGGTTCCTCAGTGAGTGTGTACTGCACACTCACCGAATAGTCTTCAGTGTAGCAGCCATTGCCCCTGCCAGCACTGTGGGCCACCTGCTTCTCTTCATAGAAGCAGCAGGGCAGGCCCTCATATTTTACCCCATCTGTCCTGGGAAAATGGTCTGAGTGAAGGCCATACAGGCCTTGGGAGCTCCCTGGTTGTGGCTCCCCACTTGTAGGGTTGCAGTCTTCAAGGAGTCGGGGACCCAGGAATAAGGTGCTGCCACCAGAAGCTGCTCCTGTCCCAGGGCCCAGGGAAGAGGGCTGGGAATCAAAGCAACAAGCACATGATGGTCCCTCTGGGCCCCCTTTCCAGGTCCTCCTGAGGTCTAGGGCAGCCCCAGGAGAAACCTCGAGCCCCACTTCTGAGGTAGAGCTGTTGGGCCCTCTGGGTTCCAGCGAGGAGTTGCTGCTGTAGTTCATCTCCAGGCTGCAGGTGGACAGCTGGTCCCCTGAGGGAGAGGCAGGGCCTAGCCAAGGCTCACCCCGCCCAGCACCTTGACTGTGTGCTGCTGGGAGCTCCTCTGGTGGTGGGGAGCCCTCAAGATGTACAGCAGGCCCCCGGCTGCGGTAGACGAAGGGGTCATAGTCACTGCTGAGAGAGCTGCGGAAGGTGGAACAGCTCCCATACACACCTTGGTTGCTGACTTCTGTGCAGTCCACCACGGAGTCACTGGAAGAGCAGCGGCACTGGCCAGAGCTGTTACTGCTGCTATCACTGCCAGGACAGTCTGCCAGATAGCCACTGCACACAGAACGGTGCCCATGGTAGCAGCTGAAGCTGGAAGAGCTGCCACTCTCCACGTGGGTGGGAGGGGCCATGTGCACCACGGTGGGGAAGAGCAGGCTGCTGCCACCATTTGGTGGGAAGGCACGGGATGGACCCCTGGGTGCAAGGCTGGGAATAGGCTGGCCCTCGTGCTCTGGATAGCTGAGACCCTGGAAGTAGTAGTGTTGGTACATAGTCTCATACTGGGAGAAACAAGCTGCCTTGGAGAAGCTGCGGCCACTGAACTTGGGCCTGCGGAAGGGATGGGCTGGTGAGTAGGCCCGGTGTTCCAGGCTGCAGCGGTGAGGGGCCAGAGTGTGGTCCAGGTGCAGGGATGGGTAGCCACGGATATAGGTAGGGGTCTGTGGAGAATAGAGGTTCCGCTCCCCATGCCGGTCCATGGTCAGCAGTGTGACAGGATTGCCATGGGAGTCCATACTTGTCCTGGTAGGGTAGGCTGGGATGGCGTTGGTCCTATGCACACGGCCTGGGTAATGTACTGGCAGGGTCACTCTTGGCTGCCGACTACGTGTAAGGTTGCTGGTCTCAACACAAACAGCACCCGGATTTCCCTTTTGTTCTGGAAGATGAGGAGGAAACAAGGTAATGGGTCAGAGCCTGAAGCATCAAATAAAGCCAAGTGCCAGGGAGTCTATGCTTGACCCTGCCACATTGTAAGCTGTCTCCAAGTTCAGCTGAGCTGACAGAGACTGATTTGTCTTTTTTCCTATCTTCCCACACAGAGTACAGAGAGCAAAACACAAAGATGAAAGTGTCTCCCACCCTGCCCTGTAATGATGACATAAGTAGAGCAACAAACACTGTTATTGCATATTCATCATCCCTTGTGTCCCTGGAAACAACCCTGTAGTCTAGGCCTGGGCAGTCAACATTACTGCCATCTGTTAAAGAGACAGGGGCTTTAGGCCTAGGGAGGCCAGGCCAGGATGCTAGGATCTGTTGATTTTTACTTTCCTCACATATGTACCCCAGCCTGGCCTCAACTTGCTATGTAGCTAAAGATGACCTTGAACTCCTGCATCTACTTCCCAAGTGCTGGGAATACCACGTGTATACCATATACCCAGCTAGGGTCCTATTTAATGGGAAACTCAAACTTGAATGCAAGATGATTTTCTTGGGGGCGCGGGGGGGGGGGGGAGTCCAAGCCTGGGATTTTGCACAATCTAGGCAACAATCTCCTACTGAGCCTCATTACCTGCCCCTAAAAGTGATCCTTAATGCTAAGCTCTGCTTAGAATTGTGCAGCCAAGTTTCAAAACCTAATGCTTACACGCCTACATGTCCAGAAGACCATGCCGTGTTGGTTCAGTTTGTTCATGAGCCTACAGCATGCACTAAGCACTTATCATACTTTGAAGGGACAGTGTCCTCCAAGATCTGTAATAATTACCTATGATGTTGTGCCGACAGTGGGGGCAAGTGTGGTGCTGCAGCAGCCATGGATCCACACACTTCCTGTGGAACCGATGGGTACAGGGGATGACCCGAAGTTCCTGCAAAGGGAAAGAGGGGGACATAGCATGAAGAATGGACTGAAGGGAGGGTACTTCTACCTTCAGTCTCACACACTTCAGTCTGTTGTGCCTCCTCCAATGGATCCTATGGGGGACAGAATAGTCCTGTACAGTGAGTGTGCTAGTGCCCTCCTGCTAAAATATGAATCTTAAGTGTTCCTAGATTGGCAGTACCAATCTAGGCAGTCAAGGAGGGCCTAGTGGGACCTGGTTTCCCTCTCCTTCTTTTTTGTGTCCTTTTGGTAAGCAATGCTGAAGATTTACTTAGATTACTTAGATTTACTTATTCTTTTATTTCTTTTTCTTTTTTAAAGATTTATTTATTATGTATACAGTGTTTGTCCGTCTGTATGCTTGCTGGCCAGAAGAGGGCACCAGATCTCATTATAGATGGCTGTGAGCCACCATGTGGTTGACTCAGGACCTTAGGAAGAACAGTCAGTGCTCTTAACCTCTGAGCCATCTCCAATCCTTCTTTTATTTCTTTAGGGTTTTTTTTTTGTTTGTTTGTTTTGTTTTTGTTTTTGTTTTTTTTTTGGGGGGGGGACAGAATTTCTCTGTGTAGCTCTGGCTGTCCTGGAATTCACTTTGTAGACAAAGCTGTCCTGACACTCAGAGACCTACCTGTCTGCCTATGCCTTCTGAGTGCTGAGATTAAAGGTGCGTACCACCACTACCTGGTTTATTTATTTATTTATCTATTTATTTATTTTTAAGGTAGATGACTATCTGTCTGTCTGTCTGTCTATCTATCATGTATACAGTGTTCTGCCTGCATGTATACCTGAACACCAGAAGAGGGCACCAGAGGGCACATGGTGAGCCACCATGTAGTTGCTAGGAATTGAACCCAGGACCTCTGGAAGAGAAGACAGTGGCTCTTAACCTCTGAGCCATCTCTCCAACCCGAGATAATAAATTTTATTAGAGATGAAGAGGAAACTTTCAGAGTAGGAAAGCAGTGTATCTCAGAAGTTGCTCAGGAGAATGGAGTAGAGAAGGAAGATCATGTCACTAGAGTTAAGCTGGCACAGAGGTCAGATTCACGGAGAAAGAACAAGGAAAAAGAATAAGAAAAGGTACATTTTTCTGAGTAATTCAGAAACACAGGCAGACTTACAAAGCAGCACAGCTGCATTTTGTACAAGACTGCCTTAATTTTTACTTTTAGTTATATGAATGCGTGCTTACGTGTTTGTACTGAGTGTATGTATGTGAAAGTAGTTGCCTGAGAGGGTACTAGTCCCCTGGAGCTGGAGTTGCAGGTAGGGATGAATCACTCAATACGGGTTTTAGGAACAGAACTTAGATCCTCTCCGAGAGAAGCATGTGCTCCTAACCACTGTGGTATCTCCAGTCTGATCCATCACATGTTTTTGTCATGATATGCTGCCATCCTATTTGCAGTCAAATGATCATGGGTCAAACTGTCCAAAAACTATGTGCTCAAACAAACCTTTGCTCTTTATATGTTTATTATTGCGGGTATTTGTTATAGGAATGGAAAGTTAAAACACTTTGTACTCTTTCCCGTAATTCCAACTAAGGGCCAGTTTTATTCCTTCAAGTAGGGCTCATAGGGAGAAGGAAACTGAAACTGCCCAATCTACATGGCCCAATCATAGTCCTCAAGGTTAAAGGACAAGGAAGGCAAGGGAGTGGGTTCCTTTCCAGAGCTGGAGGGCACACCTAAGTCTAGAGGTGTATGGGTTTGCAGGCTAGAGAGTATGGGTTTGCAGGGAGAGTTACAAACACCCTAGGTCATCTACGTTGATGTAGAGCAGTGGTTCTCAGTCTTTGGTTTGCGACACACCAAACCATCTGAAGACACAGATATTTACATCACAACTCATAACAGTAACAAAATTACAGTTATGAAAGAGCAACGAAAATGATTTTATGGTTGGGGTCACCACACATGAGGAACTATATTAAAGGGTTGTAGCATTAGGAAGGCTGACAGCCACTGAACCATATACAGACAGTTGCTTCTTGGCACTTTTGAAGGAGGTCAAGTACAAAGAACACTTGCTGGGGCTGCCTAGCTTCTAAGGAAAGCAGTCTATGACAGAATGTGATGGCTTTCCAAGTGTCATCCTGACTATTCTTGCTGCTTTGCTTTTATTTTCTCACAAGTCTGACACAGTGATAATCACACTAATAACCAATGTGGTGCTTTAGAATGCCCGTGTCTTCTCACTTAAGTAGCCTTTGTGAGCGTCTAGTATGCTGGTTCGGATCATCAATGCAGACACTGGATGAAGTCACTTGCCAAACCAAGAACCTGCCTGGGCTAGGTTGGAACCCTGGGCTAGGTCTGTACCTACAGTCCATGCAAGAGCATCATTCCAAGTGCCTGTGTGCAAACACACTTCCTTTCAGCAATCTATACATCAGGGGCTATCCAAGGTCTGAACTTTCAAACGGTTTGCTCCATCCCTCCACCCCAACTCTTTTGTGTGTACCTGTCCAACTGGAGATAGGAACAAAGTAACAAAGCGCTAATGATGGGTGGTTATAGGTGAATGGTCTATGCTGCTTCTAGTACTTTAATTTCAACTTTTAATAAAGAGCCACAAGTGAAAACAGAGGCATCAAATCTCTTGATTTTTTCCAAGTAAACATACCACATAACCACTTCTTCAAAGCAAAGCAGACAACTTATTTTTGCATCTACGTATTTTCTGTCTAATCATGTACTTTTTTGTTTATTTGTTTTGTTTCGTTGTTGGAGTCATGACCTTAAACTCCCAATTCTCCTGATTAGTCTCTCAAGTGCTATAATGACTGGCAGGTGCTACCACGCCTGGCATTCACATACTTCTGATTAACTTCTAAAGTCACCCACTTAGGTAGACCATCTATAGACTATTATGTCTTCCAGGCCCTAGGAGAAATACCTTTAGAAGCCTGGATATTGAATCAACGTTGTAGGGAACTCTGGTTCTGGTGGTCCCCAGCACTTCTGGGGACCGTATATCCCCTCCTCACCCAAGACAGGTCCTGTCTCTAACATTACCTCTCCATCAATGTACTTCTCCAGACAGATAGCACAGTCAGATGTGGAGCCACTGCTAAGTGTATCCAGGGCCCCGCAGCTTCCTTCCCGGCGCCCCTTGCTTTTGGAGTTGAACTTTCTGGTTTCCATTTTCTCCAGAGCCTGCACAGCCAACCTGTTCATGGAATTCTGCAAGGTAGAACATGGTCAGTGTTGGTACATATTAATAGTAGTATTCATACCCCAGGCCATGGCACTCAGGACACTGGGACAGACAATAATAGTCTCACTCAGGTCAAACAAATTCTTGAGAAACTGTTCAAAACTCATCCTGCCACTGTATTTTATAGACCCTTTAGAATGCCCATGACATTTGTCTAGGATTTTCACAAGTGACCCTACTCCAAAGTCTTGCCTTCAAGGTAAAAGGAAATTCTGTTTCTGGTACTTCCCAATTCTGTGGGACTTTGGTTTTTAGAAGGCCCTATGTCAAATACCTCCTTGTTGAGGGAAATGAGTGTTTAGATGAGTGTTCAGCATCTGACACACAGTGTGAGTGGATAAATACTAGCCAATAATCCCTGTTTTTGCTGGTGATGGCCCGTCAGACCTCCTGACAACTGAAACCATTTTTCTTTTGATTGTCACTCTCCAGGGAACCTTCTCGCCAAGGTGTCACACATCTCAGTCTATCCTGCTTCCCCTCCTCTCTCTACCCTCTGCCTGCAGACCTTTCTTTCTTGTAAGCAGAAGTAATGGGTTGGCTAGAGTACTAGTATGGCTAGTATGTTGACTATATCAAGAGTCAACATAAGGACCTGGCAGAGGTAAATTTCATCACAAGACCTGGGGCCCTGACAGTCTGTATTTCTACCAACCCTAATTCTACCTGAGGAGCAAAGGTCTCACGTTCCAAAACAAAATTTTATTTGGACAATTCCTTCAAAATACTTGCTTGGAATACCCCCAACGAGAAGGCCTTTTCAGGCCTGCCCTTCTCAACACTAGAGCTCAGCACTTGAGGTCTGGAATTCTCCAGAACACTGAGAAAGGAAGGGGAGCAAGGACAGCAGGTTGGCTAGACCTCTAACTTTCATCAGCAACAGGGTAACGGGGTTCACAGGTTGCTCTTAGGGGTTACCTGACTACGACGCTGCTTCAGCTTGATTTTGACAAGGAGAATGAGGCAAACCAGGGAGACGACGACGAAGAAAGCCAGGAAAATCCCCATGTCAAAGTACTCAGTGGGTTGCTAGAATAGAACACAAATGCTATGAGCCATGTTCTCTTTGGCCTGATTGTGGGCATGTGGGCTGTCAGTCCTGGTCAGGAAATGGAGTGGGCGAGTGAGGACAGGATCCCTCAGTGTGTAGGATGCTTGTGGGGTTCTGCTCAAATGAACACAGTGATAGTGGCCAGGATGGGGGTGAGGGAGTTATAGTAGCCTCACGCCTCCTAGTAACTGAGAGAGGCAGTAGTAAAGTTTAGTCTCCCATTAAAACAGTGCAAAGTTTGGTATACCTCCTGAGAAAAGCCCCTCTGAATAAACACAATCACAGTTATAGACAAAGGAGTGAGTGTTGTGTTTTGAGGGAACAGTGATTACTAAGCATATAATTAATGGTTTACAACAACTTAGAAAATTGTATGGTGCTTCCACAAAAATCAGCTTCCACTACAATGAGTCACGTTTGTCCAAGAGTTCCTTCTTCCTTTAAAATGAAGACAGCAAGTCAGTTCTGCAAATGTCTTGTTTCTTTTCTTGGTGTCGGGTAGGGGGTAGCATTTATCCTAAGCTGGTCTTACCTTGCTATGGAGCTGAAGATGACCCTGAAAATCTAACCCTATCACCACTCACCTTCTAAATGTTGGAATCACAGCTGTGCCATGACAGCAGCTTTATGTAGTGCTGGGGAATGAACCCTGCCTGGGCTTTGTGGATACTAGGCAAGTCCTCTACCAACTTAGCTGCACTTGGCAACTCTTATCTTTTTCACACAAAAAACACTGACTTCTGCCATCTGAAGCTGCTACACCTCGGACAACCACTTAGCCAGTAAGAACAGGGCCCTAATAAGATGCTGTGCTACCCAGATACTTGGTGCGGGAGGAAGAATCATTCTGCATGGGAACAGTTCAGTAACTGTGAAGAGGGAAGAAAACATATACGGGCATTAGCCCGATTCCAAGGTTGAGGAGAAGATGTCAGTAAAGTACTGGTGAGCAGTACTACTGTTTCAGTATAATGAAGTAATGCCTGACTGCTACTCATCACCAACCATTGCCTGAGAAATTCTTAATGTTCGTATTTGTGAGCTGGGGAGTTTTAAGCCAGTGATCTACCTGATTGGCAGAAGGAAGTATAGGCCTTTTCTTATCTCTAGGTCAGATGGCAGGGAAGAGACAAAGGGAAACAAGTGCTAAATGTGTCATCCTTCATTTTTTTCAGCTTGTTTCTCAGAAGGATGGGCTGAAAAGGGGCAACGCCAGAAGAGTGAAACCAGAGCCTATTTCTGTAAGCGTTTACATTTTTTTTTTTTTACAAATAAAGAAATTTAGTGAAAATTTCTGTTTTCCTGTCCTGTAGCTGAGCTCAACCCATAGGAACAGATACTATGCCAGCATTCTAGATATAGGGACAAGATGGCTGAAAGTCAAAGCTCAAAGGAAATGAAGGCACCGATCGGTAGGCAACAGACAAGTTACCACTTACTCGAGGAGGGAGGTGCTGGATCCTTGCTCGAGCTACTTTCTGCTTGTTGACAATGTTCATCAGCTTGATGGCATCTGCACCCTTCACATACACTACTGGCCTCTTAAGAGGGTCTTCTGAGCCTTGGTTTAGCTGGCAAGAAAGAGAGGGCACCAATTAAAAGACATGCTTACTTTAAGAAGCAAGAGAGGCTGGGCGGTGTTGGCACACACCTTCAATCCCAGTACTTGGGAGCCAGAGGTAGGATCTCTGTGAGTTTGAGGCCAGACTAGTCTACAGACTGAGTTCCAGGACAGATTCCATAGCTGTAGTCAAAGGAGCTGCAGGCTGCTTCCACTGCCTGGCTCCTGGCTAGTTTACGCCCAAAATAATTACACGGAAACTGTATTCATTTAAACACTGCCTGGCCCATTAGTTTTAGCCTCTTATTGGCTAACTCTTACATATTGATTCAACCCATTTCTAATAATCTGTATCGCCACTTGACTGTGGTTTACTGGCATGAGTCTATCCAGCATCCGTCTTGGAGAGAAGAGCCATGGTGTCTGCCTGACTCTGCTTTCTTTCTCCCAGCATTCTATTCAGTCTACTCTGCCTATCTAAGCTGCTGTCCTATCAAAAGGCCAAGGCAGTTTCTTTATTTGACCAATGAAAGTAACATATAGACAGAAGACCCTCCTATACCACATAGCTACAGAGAAATCCTGTCTCAAAAAACAAACAACAACAACAACAACAAAAAGAAAGAAAGACAGAAAGAAAGAAAAAAAGAGAGGAAGAAAGAAAAAAATAAGAGAGTTTAGGATGTGGCTCTGTGGTAGAGCACTTGTCTGGCAATGTAAGGTCTAGATTTCAGCACACACATGCACACGTGTGTTTTATGAATGCATACACAAGAAAGAACATTAAATCCCCACTTGGACATTCTCAAAGTCTTCAAGCATTATAGACTTGGGATTCCCAGAAAGGTGAGGATAGGGTGCTATACTTGTTTTAAGATGGCTGAAAGTTGTTTTGAGCTGGCTGAAAGTCCAGAAGACTATCTGAAAATGTCCCTTATCCCTAACTCCTGACCTATAACCACTTTCTATATGCCTCCCCCAGGGTATGATACTCAAACACAGACATATTACTTCAGCAGATAGGTGCAAAGAATCTGGGACAAGGGTGTCACAACAGTGCCTACTCAATATAACCAGAGCAAATTCCTCTCAGGCAGACAGTAGGAATGATATTGGTGGAGAGTTACCTGGTCAATGGCTTCTGGGTTTTCAGATACATCAAAGATCACTGCAGTTGCTCCTCGTTGAACTGCTCTCTTGGCCTGGAACATGAAAAAGAGAAGGTTGGCAACTCTGTCCCCCACCCGCCCTGAGCCAGGGTTTCTGTGTAACAGTCTTAGCTGTCCTCAAACTCACAGAGATCCACTTGCCTCTGCCTCTCAAGTTCTGGGATTAAAGGTGTGCACCACCACTGCCCAGCCTAGCAACTCTGTCTTTTGACCCTACCAATACTGGCCTCATAAATCAGCATTGACTTCAAATGCAGAACCAGAGAGTAAGCAATATCTGTGCCTCTGAGCAAGTTGTTCTACTTTTCCAAGCCTTGACATTCTCATCTGAAAAACAGGAGACACAGCCACTTACTGTGTCCTATCATCCCAATAGTCTGGTGACTTAGAATGGGTAAAAATGAGTAACTGACTATTGCAAAGCCTTTCTTTCCCATCTAGCTGGAATATTAAAAACAAGTCTATGGATGGGCAGTTTTCCCAGCCAGTGCAGAGGCACTGGTTTTTGATATTTTCTGCTATAAACACACTGCCCCTGGCAACCAGAGTAAATGCCTTTGGTTTGTCTCTTGTGGTCCTTTCTTCCTTCTCATGCCATCCAGTTAGAATAGCATGTTGACTACTACTGAATAAATCTCAAAATGGTCACGTTTAACACACAACACAAGCTGCAGACACCATTGGGGGGCTTACAAGAAATAATAAGTGGGGATTTAGAGCAGTTGGCTGCCAAGCCTGGCTGAACATTGGAACCCACTTGTGAAGTTTGTAAAGCAGATTTCCTGGCTCTGACCACAGAGATGGGTTCAGTGGAGCTGGAGGCAGGCTCACCAAGCTCTGGGAACTCAGCTGATCTCACCAGTTGGAAAACTAGAGGTCAGAGGGACAAGACAAGAAGGCTTAGAAACAAATGAGAAGTGATAGAAATTTATTTTGTTGTTGGGGTAGAGGAAAAGATGGGAGAAAAGATTCCTTTCCACCTCAGTGAACCTTCTCATTTTATCTCCAGCTAAGTGAACAACAGAGTTGAATCTGCAGATGAGACAGACCCTCCCTTGCTTTTAGGACTTGAACTACTGTAACAGAGGCAGCCACTCTTAAAAAAAAAAAAATACAGGGAAAACAAGCCAACTTCCCAAACCAGCACGCTAAAAGATGGGCAAATTATCATCCAGGCCAGTTACTATGGGCCCAAACAGTGAATAAACCCAACAAATAAGCAGAGAATAAATGTAAATTCCTTCCATAGGAATAATCCGTACTGACAGGTGCACAAACCCAAAGAGCATCAACAAGAATGATCAATGACTTTATTGGACCACTAGAGGGCAGTGTCACTTCGTTACTTTTAAAGTCAACCCCCTGCACTTGGGACCAAGTCAAAACTTAGTGACACTGAAGATAAAGTATGTTTCTTGGAAGCTTAAGAAAGCCAGGAATCCTGGATGCAATGATGCAGGATTTATCCTTAAAAACAAACTGAGACTGAACAATCAGAAAGTCAGCTGAGGATTACCCGGCTGTTTTATTATCAGTGTTCGCTGGTGACCAGTGGGCTGTCCCTGCTAAACTTCAGTCATTCTCTTTTCTGCTTGGTAGTGTTGTGGTCAAACCTGGGCTTTGTTAATGCTGAGCCAAGTGCTCTACCACTGCATCTTAAGTCACCGAATCTTTCATGCCCAGCCTCAGAACAACCATGTCCCTGTGTGAGACCAAGATAAAATGGCACGACTGTTCTCTCAGTTCCTTAGCACAGCAGACCTCTACCCACAGCTCCTAGACTCCTGATGGGTGCTTGTGTTTCTGCCCCAGTGGTACCCTAGGCTTCTTCATAAATTCCATTCCCAGAGGAAGAAATAAAGAGGGCCTCTCATTCTTTTATTCTGTTTTCATCCAGGGATCCAGCATATCAAACAGTACCTGTGAAGAGTGTGAGTTTAGATATGTCCTGACTGGAGTGCTTGTCCCTCCAGCTTTGATGCTAGTGCACCTGGAGAGGTTGGCACAGGCTGCAGTGCCTGGGTAGGGAATGCCTTCCTGGAATGTGCCTCGGGGGAACTACACAGCCAGAGGGCCTCCTTGACTTCCCTGTATTTCTTGTTTCACAAGAACATGAATGTTCATTTGTTTCAGAGGCATGACCTGTTCAGGGCAGACATCACAAAGCTGGGGGCAGGGAGTGTAAACCTTAGGCCTCATCCATACCAGGTTATGTACTTTACCATGGGGCTATACATTCTCAGTCATACAAAAGATCATTCAAAACATACATGGTTTTGTTAGGCATGGTGGTACACAACTTTAATACCAGCACTTGGGAGAAGAAGACAGAGTCAGAGTCAGGTATATATATCTCTGTGAGTTTGAGGTCAGCCTGGTCCTGACCAAAAACTCTGTAGAGTGAGTTTGAGGATGGCCAGGGCTACACACAGAAACCCTGTCTTGAAACTCCAAACCAAAAACAAACCTTATTTCTTTGGTGAGGAGGGCAGGTAGAGAATAAAGCGCTTAGCTCTCATCTACAACTCAACCTCAGACAAATCACTAATGCATGGAATCTAAGGACAAGTCCTGTGGCTGAGCAAATTTTCAGTGAATTACCATAAAAATTTTATTTATGGAGGCTGGAGATGTAGTGCGATTGGCAGAGTGCTTGCCAACCATGCCTAAAGCCCTAGCCCTTCATAAAGAGATCCTTAGCATGGTATTAGGACTGGGTATGGTGTCTGTAATTCCATCATTTAAGAGGTAGAGGCAGAAGAATCATAAAATTCAAGATCATCCCAGCAACACAGAGTTTGAAGTAATTTGCATTTTCAGCACATATCAGGACTGAGTGAAGGAGTTCCTATTGAGAGCATGCCTGTTGAGAGCTGGGTGGCTTAGAAAAGACTGATGGCTGGGGATGTTACTCAGTGGTAAAATGTGCTAGCATACATTCATCCTGAGTTTGTTTAATCCTCAAGAAAAGGTCATGGGTAACCTTAATTTACAAGATGGGAACTTTCATTATATTTTAAAAACATAAAATACTGTTTGGTTACACTTTTCCTCCTGCCCCAATGTAATTTTAAAAACTTGAGTAGCCAAGTTCTTTGAACAAATTTTCCAATTTTATCTATTGCCAATCTCCTGCCAAATTATTATATTTCAAACAATCTAAATCCTAGCTAGATTACCAGTCTTGTGACTAGAGTAAACTTTATTTTTATAATGTTATACCTGTAACGCTGTTTGAAAGGATGAAAAAGCAAGAAAAGGCCGTGGCTTTCTTAGAAGTGAGACATCCCTGCAAAACTAAACAGCAGCCAAAGGTCTTGCCTTGCTAACCCTTCCCATCAGAGGTATCTTCAGGTTGCTTTTATCCTTACCTAGGCCAGCACAGGTAGAACCAAAGGAGAGGCAACCAGAAACATGGTGGCAAGGAGATGTTTGAAGGTGATACAAAGTAACGAAAGAACAAAATCTGTGTACTTCTATTTTACAAAGCACAAAATTTGAAGCCTCAGAAGGCAAGACCCTACTAATCACTTATCACTCCTATGATGATTCAATCAATGGTCAGTAAATTGAAAGAAACCTGTCTGGGCCCATATTTAGGTTACAGCAATGGGGGTGGTTCTTCTGCAAGACCAAGTATATAAACTCCCAATGCAGACAGCATTCTGATGACAATGGTTGTTATAATAGGGCCTTATAGGGATGATGATGAGAGAGAGAGAGAGAGTGTGTGTGTGTGTGTGTGTGTGTGTGTGAGATGTATGCGGTTACATCCAGACCTGGTTTGGGGCTCAGACCTACCAATCAATACCTGTCCTTTGGAACTTCTGAGATACATTAAGTTTTATTTAGTTATATCTGTTAAGCACTTGGATGTAAGTTCCCTAATGTCTAAGCTTTATTGTAGGAAAATGAAGACAAAACATAATCTCAGCAGGAAATAACCAAAAAATCTTGGCTCTGGATTCTTGATGAGAGAATAACCAAGGAGCTGGACTGTCGATAGCTAATTGGAATATGTGTCGACAGCTTCTTATGGGAAGTTCTGACATACAGCTATTCCAGTGGCTCTATGGAATATAATTTTATTATATTTATTTAACAGCAGACATAATGAATGATGGGTATTTATCCTTATGGAGCACATCTTCTGCATGTGATGATGGTGGAATACACCATACCTCTGGGGGCATCACCAGGAAAGTTTGGTGTTTAGTTCAGGGGCATATGGCAAGAGATAAAAAATACAAGGTTGCTTATCCTGTCTCTAGAGTGGCTTTCCACGAAGTACACATATGGAAATGACCTATTTTCCTGGCTGGTATCTTCTGGGAAGCATTGCATTTTCTAGAGCTATCCATGACAAATGTGAAGCATATTCGTTTTGGCTGTTCCTGACTACCCAGCATTAGAAAGCCTTTCTCAGCAATGCATAGAATACTTTCCCTGCTGTATAGCAGGCTTTGCATTAATGTTCTATGGTAGGTAGCACGCTTGGATAAAGGATTATTAACACCTTTCTCACTTCTCACTCTCAAGGTAGAAGGATGACATTTTGCTCTGGTAGCCAATTACTAAATAATGCACACATCTACAACTTAACAGAAACGGTTATTGGTATGAAAACATTTAATTATAAATTACATAGTTCCGTCCATGAACAATTTAAGATAGCTAACTAACTGTGTGATAGGAACTCCAAAGACACAAACAAGAACCTTTTGAAAGCATTTACCATAATACACCTGACAATGTCTTTTCTTCCTTTCCTTCCCCTCTCCACCCCTAGACAGGGTTTTTCTGTAGCTTTGTAGCCTGTCCTGGAACTCACTCTGTGGGCCAGATTGGCCTTGAACTCACAGATATCTGCCTATCTCTGCCCCCCCCCCCCCCCCCCGAGTGCTGGGATAAAAGGCGTGGTGGCATCACAGCTGGTGAGGCACTCCTTCTTAAGCAAGGTGAGGATTCTAGGGACTCTTCCTTTCAGCCATGTGAACATGTTTATGGGGTTCTCAGATATGCTTACATATAGC